AGTACATAGTTGCTGAATAGGTGGATTATTATTTTTATGATTGTTTCCTATATACTTCAAGACCTTTGTCTCAAGTGTCCTTTCATTAGCCCTTGACTGATTTCTATTGAGACATGAAGTGGCCTTCCCAGCCAATAATGTATGCTCCCTACATTACCACTATTAGCAGCAAATAATATACAAAAAAGTTAAAAATGAGTAAAAAAATCAGAAGGAAAGAAAAAAATAAAAGAATCATATGAAACAACTATTTCAAGATAAAATCAAAAGGTGTACATGGTTGTGATATCCAACAGAATCATAAGTCTTGTTATAATTATATAATTTTTTTTTTTACTTCCAAAGGGATGAGCTCATTGTGTTTTGTGATTTCCCCCCCTCTTTTTTAAATGAGAAGGCTGGAAGACTATTTCCTTACAATCTAGCTAGGCTTCCAAAACAGTTGATCTCGTGGCACCATCAGTTTACAAAAGGGTTCTATTTACAAAAGGATTCTAGGTCTCTTTCTCTTCTTTCTTTGTTCTCTCCCATTCACTCTGATAGTTTGGCTAGTGACTAGGTTGAAAAGTCAAAAAGAGAAGAACCTGGAAATTGGACAAGTGATTACAGATAAAGGACTGAATAAAAGGGCTTTGGATAAGGATTTCCTACTGTCATGGGAGCAAACAGGGAAAAATAAGCAAAAGGCACCAATAGCCAATTTGATTGTCTCGGACTGGAAACCATGGAGGTGACGTCAGGTCTCCAATGCACAGCAGAACCAGCAAAGTTTTCCATGTGAAATATATTAATGACATGCAGATATCTAGGATCACTTTTAAGATTGTTCCCTTGGACAATGAACTCACTTGAGAATCTTGAGATGACATTTTACAAAATTAGGAATAAATGATTATGAATAAGCAAATGATGTGTAGCACAGGATTAAGTTTGAATGGACATCCAAGTAGTTGAAGATGTTCATATGTTATTGACAAAGACTCTTGTGAGAGAAAATAACTTGTATTCTAGTCAGTTATAGAAACAATCCACAAATGTTTAATAACTGGGGATTTCTATCTCCACAGTCTGGGGTCTATGTGAAGTTATAGAAATGCTGGTTATAGTTTATTAAATAATGACTTGGTGATAATAAAAAGATAGAATGAAACTCATTGCTTTACTAAGTTGTGATCTTGCTGTATGCCAGTTACTATGCTAAGCACTCAGACTAGAGCATATGAAAACGTAGGAGGCAAAACCCTTGAAGTGGAGAGAGGTGTATTCTCTACTAATTACTATACGACATTCACCAATTCCTGATCAAGAGGCCTAATACCTTCTAAAAATTAGATTGATCTAAAAAAGCTTAATAGAGTTTGAGGACAAATGAAAATGTGAAATACGGTGGAAAGGGGGAAATTATTAATTTTAAATGAGTTTATTTAAATAAATTACATTTAAGAAATATAATGTATATTTTTAATTTAGAAATTACTTATATTTATACATTTAAAATATAATTTATGAATCTGTAAAAAATATAGAAGTAAGAATTTCACTGCAATCCCAAAGGCACATGGTTCAAATCCAGCACCTGCGTCGCAGGAGAAGGATGAACAGTCTCTTCCCATGTGATTAACTGCCTCTGAAAACCCACTGGAGGGACAGCTATGAATCAGTTCCAACTTGATGGTACTCAACGACTTACACAGACAAAGGTGGATCATTTCAATAGTTTGTGCAATTAGGCTTCAGTGACATTGGTTATAGTCATCTTTCCCACATTATTCTAATACTATTATCTTGAACCCACCGCCATATAAAAGGCTCTCTAGAAGAATTCAAAACAAACAAACAAAAAAGATTCAGTGCAGAACAGAATTTCAAATTCTTAATGGATTCCAGACTTTCTGGAGCCATTGAGGTTGGCTGATCCTCCCACTGTTCCCTTGACATAATCTTTGGATTATAAACCTTAAATAAAAACCACTCTCTAGGAGTTCTGGTGGCATAGCAAGTTGCACCACTAACAAAAATGCCATCTTCTCCAGCATTTTGAACTCATGAGTAGCTCCAAGGAAAAAAGATAGGCGGTGCTGCAAGGAGAGTTGCTGTGAGTTGGAACCAACTCAAATGTAGTGAGTTTTGTGAGACCGATTTTTTTTAACAACAGCAACAATCTTGTTTTAATTGGTAAAGCACATCTGCTTTGAACATTGCACTCTACTAAACAATATCATTAGTTTTTCCAAAATTAGTATGTTCTGAATGTATGACTACATAGTCTATGTTCAATCTCTGTGAGATGGACCCATGTGGATTAAGAAAGTGAAGAAAGGAGCCCTGGAGGCTTTGTGGAAAGGAATCACATTGCTAACACAAGGGTATGCAGTTAGAATCCACCAGCTGCTCTGTGGGAGAAAGACAGGAAATCTCCTCCAGTGCGATTTACTGCCTCTGAAATCCCACTGGAGGGTCAGCTATGGGTCAGTTCCAGCTCGACTGTACTTGGCAACAACAAAGGAGTGTCTGATTATATCTATTGTGTTTTGGTAGCCATATCATCAGCCATAGGTGTGTTCATATGCGGCATGTCATACATTATGTTTTCAATAGCTAATGGAGCTCCCCAACCCTAATAATGAGGTAATGAAGGGACTCCCCATGGGAAATGTCTGGTACTCTCACCGTTTACCCACTTGTGATGGCACCAGTGTTACATCAGAGACGATAACCTAATACGAGGAAGAGTTTCCTAACACATCTTTCAAACAAGGGCATCCCTCAGACCCTCATTATTTTTCTTGGACATAAATGAGCTGAGGGCTGGATAACCATTCAAGAGTCCATTATAAGAGACAGAAGTAGATGATACCCTAGATCCTCCCATTCTTTTATATCTATACTCTTACCATTTAATCTTTTAGTTCATTTTAGATTTAAATTAATTTATTATGTGGGCTGCTTAACAATTAGCCTAATTAAGAAAAATTAACATCTTTAGCTAGTTAAGTAAAATTATTAACATCTTTGGTTAATTAAATAAAATTATTAGCATTTTTGCCACAGCTTCCTCCTTATTATAAGAATTACACCAAAGTACATTTTATATGTTTCCAATAAATATCATACTGACATGTTCACCACTGTATTATTACAACTTTAGTCTTCCAGTCTGTATTATGAAATGGGAAAGGACTGTTCTTTGTCCTTGAGTAGTATTTTGTCCACACCATTGGTACATGTTCCTGGGAAGAATGGACGAGGACGTGGAACAATAAAGACCCTGCCATTTGAAGTGAGCCTCTTGAGCCATTAAAGGGAATCCTAAAATATTCTGGTGAGCAGCCAACATTCCAAAACAAAGCAGTCAGATCTAAGCCTGGCCTATCTATTTCTTATCTCTACCACAGCTCAGCATGACTTTATCTGCCCATCCTCTCATTATTCTGAACTCTAATTGCCCAGGCCCCATTCTCTCCGCAAATAGTTTCATGTACTGTATTCGGCATTAATGTAGGGTGACTAGGTGGAGATGTCTTCTCTTCCTACTTCTGACAGATTAACAGCTAATAAACACCACACAACCCCCTCTCCTCTGAACCTCTTCTTAAAATACAGAGTTTGGTTTGCCAACATCGGTATATTTAAAGCCTCCAAGATTCCTGGGAAGACTTTAGAAAGTTAACTGTGTGAGTTAGGCGTGTATTTTCCAACAGTGTATCAGCAGCTCATTTGAGAAGAACCTCAAGGGATCCTGTAGTAATTTATAAGGAAAGCACACTTGTTCTCACTTAAAACAGAAATGATTCTCACTTCATTCTTGAGATACAGGACTGAAGAGACTCTGGAATTGTGTTCCCTAGGGAGAAGGTATGGCTGCAAAAGTTTCATCTCTAAAGGAGAAGCTTGTGTTTCTGTGAAGGGGACAGCAGGGTACCTTCCAGTGACCATGCACTGAAAGGATTTATGCTGCCTGCTCTTCTCTGCCCTCCATCTCCTACTTGTTCTGTAGTCCCTGCACCTTCTCTCCCCTTATGGAAACAGTTAGTTTTAAAGAAAAGCCAATAATTAGAAGCCATGTTTAAAACTTTAAACAAAACTCAATATTTGGAGGCTTTAAGGATACAAAGTATTAGCAAGAATATGTCTGGAATACCTGAATAATTATTCTCAGGTGCTGTTTACCAGCATTTTATACACGTAGAAGAGAGAGAATGAATTGAAAGGCAAAGTGACACTGAGCACAAAGTCTAATTAGAAGACTTTCCAATATCAATGAGCCAGAAACCGTCAAAGAATTTACTTGTGAAATACTTGGTGTTTCCGGAAGTCTGGTAGTCCTACCTAAGGAGACTTTTAAAGACCAGCTTGATGACAAAAAGGCAGATACGTTTTTTTGTAGGTAATTTTGCCTAAGGCAAAATTTATAGGACCAAGTCCTTTCTTTGCTTTCAAGAAAGTGTTTCTTGTAGCAGAAACTCAAGTGTATTTTATTACTTCTGTCTCCTTTTATTTATGTTGCCCTGCTTGTCTCTGTTGATTTAAGACACCTTTAAAATCACAGCAGCTTGACAGTTTCATTGACTCTTTACATAGTGGAGGGGTGGAGTTGACTCTGGAACAGGCTGGGTCATATATTGTAGTAATGATGATATCTTCCTGCATCAGAGACAGCCAGTGCTGCTCTCTGCTCTTCTGTGCTTATTAGATTAGCATTTGTGACCTTCAGCACTTACCTTGCTTTTTACTGTCAACTTCACCTCCTTTGAAGGAAAGTCAGACTAAAATTTCATCATAGTTTAGATTTACTTGAATGTAAGAATTGGATTATTTTTTCTTCCTCCTAAAGTTCAGTATCATCTGAAATTTGTGCTTTCCTGGATTCATTCACCCAAGTGGTGGCTTCTCTCAGTGCCAGTTCGTGTGTCACAGCCAGCCTAGGATCGTTAAAAGTCAGAGCATTTCCTGTGATGATTTACAACTTCCTTTGCTGTTTTTTTTTTTTCTCTCCACAGAACTGGACTGGAAGCCATCATGGAGACTTACGCATTTTGGAGACCCCCTGTACGCACACTCACCTTTGAGGATTTCACCACCATGCAAAAGCAGCAAGGTAAATCATAGAGCAGAATCTCTGCTTAATGACAAGGCGGGGTAGAGAGGAGACGAAAGCAGACTTGAATATAGCACGTTTAGCCCTGAACCAAGCCATGGTTACATGGAATGAGAGAACTCAGTAGCTCCGGAAATAACCAAATCACACCACTCATGTAAGCCAGTCAGTTCCAATGGTAGCATTTCACCTGGCAGTATTTTTTTCTTAAAAACAAGGATATATATATGTTTATGATGGTGATGGAATTATTACTATTATCTCTAAGAATTCATATAGCCCTTGACATTGAAGAGGTATTAATAATAACTTTAGGGTTTTTCTCATTGTAGCTTTATCAGTTTTTTATATCTCGGTTTTAGAGATTAGAAAAAAATTAGCCCCATATCATGGGAGTATATTGCTCCAGGTCTATCAGTGAAGAAGGAATTATTGTAAATCTATTTGAAACTTGCAACTGTGTTCTCTCCTTTATTACTTTAACTGGAACAGTACTCTTCTGACTTGTTAGGCTAGGTAGACCCCTTCCAGTTCTTTATACTTTTCATCCAGTTTATAATCTCTCAGCTCTTTTAGCTCAGATTATGAAATCTGTGGCCATTTATATGAGATTGGTTTTGGGCTAATTACCTTTTCTCAATTCAGTCACTGACTCTGTCAGCATCTGTCCACCAGGATGATGTCACTGCCTCGATCAGCATCCATCCACCTGCGTGATCCCAGGTGCTTGAATGATGGCCTCCCAAAGTTTCAGACTCTGTATGTGTCTCCCTCTATAAGATCCTTGTGCCCTAAAATGTCCAAACAACAAAATGACAGGCCAATGCTGTGTGTTCTATCAAATTACCACTGCTAATAGAAAACCAGTTTTTCCATTTTTGGTTTCTCCTTTTGAGAGGCTACTCTAGAGATTGGTTAATGAGATTGCTAACAGTTTTAGTTTGCTTGGCTCCACAGTCAACACTCTTGGTACCAGCAGCCAGGAAATCAAAAGACTAATTGCTTTGGGGAAATCTGCTCTCAAGGACATCTCCAGAGTACTGAAGAGCAATGATGTCAGTCTGGAGACAAAGGTGTGCCAAATCCAAGCCATTGTCTTTGTAATTACTTGTTATGCGTCAGAGAGCTGGACAGTGACTAGGGATGATAGAAGGAGAATTGATGGCTTTGAGCTGTGGTGCTGGAGAAGAGTATTGAATATACCATGGACCGCTAAGAGGACAAACAGGTTTATTCTGGAGAGGGTGAAGCCGGGCTGCTCCTTGGAGGCAAGGATTCTGAAGCTTTGCCTAACATACACTGGGCATGTTGCAAGGAGGGACCAGTTCTTGGAGAGGGATATTATTCTTGGGAGGGTGGAGGGGCAGCACAAGAGTGAGACCCTCGATGAGATGGATTGACTCAGTGACTGGGGTAATAGGGGTGGTGTGTCAGAAATGATAAGGTTGGCTTAGAACAGAGCAGGGTTCAGAGCTGTTGTGCATAGGGTCAGATGACTTGATAGCACATAGCAACAACACTACCACGACCAACACCACCACTATCACCATTCTTAGGAGAACTTTTAAAATTTTGAACACTAAATTAAGATTGGAATACGAAATAGTAAAGTCTCAGGCTTTAAAGTGAAGAGATTAAGAGTATAAGATCTAGAGTCAGGCTATTTTGGTGACACTCAGCACTGTCTTTTCCCAACTTTGTGAGTTTAGCCAATTCCCTTAACTTCTCTAACAATTTTAAATCTGCAAAATTCGAAACTATGATAGAATTATATAAGGATTAAGTGGGATAATACATACGTTGTTTTTTGGTGTTTGCCATGGAGGTAGAAGTGACCCATAGCTGTCCCTCCAGCACGTTTTCAGACGTAGTCAGTCGCATGGGAGGAGAGTGTCCATCCTTCTGCTGAGCAGCTGGTGGATTCAAACCATGTCTTCAGGATTGCAGTGCAGCTTCTTACCACTAGGTAACCAACGCTGCATATATAAAATCAGTAGTTGTTTAGCACATGGTAATTGACATTATCACGTTTGTGCTCTGTACATGGAAACCCAAGGAGAAGATGTAGTGATGAGAGGGACAGAGGCTTTGCCATTCTCATAATTAACTATCCAAACCATGGTTCGTCCATTCATCTTCATCTGACAAAGTAAGTAAGCCAGAACTTCCATCTCTGTTCTATTTCTGGGGGAAGAATGGCAGTCCTTTATACATATTGATGGGTTCCCCTGGAAATTGTGATCAAAGCACATTCAGAAGAATATTTAGATGTTACTACTGCTTTGATATTGTCATGACTTTTAAGAGACATATATGTTAGAAAGAGTTGAAGGCTGGGAGTTGGCAGAGCCTGTCTCTTATATTTGATGATTATTAATTCTTGTAACTTAGTGGGAACGAATTGTGCTGCCAACTCAAAGGTAGGTTGTTCAAATCCACTAGCTGCTCTGTGGGAAAATGATGGGCATTCTCCTCCCATGCAATTTACTGGCTCTAAAAACCACTGGAGAGTCAGCTGTGGGTTGGTTCCAATTTGATGGTACACAACAGAGTTCTATATAGGAAGTTCTGGTGGCCTAATGGTAAGGATTTGCATCGTTAACCAGAAGCTCCTTCCATGTGATTTATTACCTCTGAAAACCTACTGGAGGTCAGCTCTGAGTTGGTTCTGACTTGATGGTACATAACAATAAAAACAACCATTCTCTATATAAGGAGTTTGAGTGGCATAGTGTGTTATGTGTTGGGCTGCTAACTGAAAGATCAATGGTTTAAATTCACTAGCTACTCCTTGAGAGAAAGATAAATAGTCTCCTCTTATAAGTATTTATAGCCTTGGGAACCCAAATAGGGGGTTGCCATGAATCATAATTGACTTAAAGCCAGTTTGGCAGATTAATTTTTTATATTACCTTTGGTAAGTTACCTTCATTCTGAGCGCCAGCTTACTTAGTTTAGTAAGACGTTCATATTGACATATTTTACAAACAAGGCGTGTAATATGAAGGTGCTTACTTGATTTTATTGATTTCGGAAGCATATTCTGTGCTTATCTGCTCCTGCTTTATTCATTAAATACCTAGGTTCTAATTTAGCAATATCATGAAAACTGGTTTGAGTAGATTGACAGGGATAATGCCAGTTCCTGAGAGCAGGAATTGCTGATGGTGATTATGTTTGCTGCTGTAACTCCAAGGTCCTAATGACCTTGAAAAAATATAATGAAGATTGTTTGGTGGTGCTATGACTCATTTTCTGACTCCAATTTAAAGTGCAACCAACAACAACAACAAAAAAGAGCAACTGACCAATTGTTGTTGTTGTTAAGTGCCATTGAGCTGAGTACGACTCATAGTGTCCCTATGAGCAACAGAGCTGAACTCCGTCCTATTCTGTACCATCCTTATTATGCTCTACACATTTGAGTCCATTGCCATAGACATTGTATCTATTCTTCGTTGACCCTCTACCTTTCCAAGCATGATACCCCTTTCCAAGGAATAGCCTCTCCTAACAACATTTGCAAAATATGAAATGAAGTTTTGCCATCTTTGTCTCTAAGGAACACTCTGGTTGCACTTTTTTCAAGTCAGCCCACCAGATACTCACTACTCTTGTCCAACTCCACAGCTCAAATGCATCAGTTCTTCTGTCATCTTTGTTCATGTTCAGCTCTCAGATGCATAACAGCTGGCTGGAAAGAATGTGGCTTGAATCAGGCACACCTTAATCTTTAACTGAAATCATGGCTCTTCAGAACATTGGAGAAGTTTCTGACTACTGACTTTCCCAATGCTATTCATCTCCTGACTTCTGGTACCTAGCATGTTGGCTGTAGATCCAAGATAAAATTGTTGACAATTTTAATCTTTTTGCTATCTACCATGCAGTTGCCTGTTGGCTCAGTGGTGAGGAATTTTGTTTTCTTGATGTTTGTTATAGACGTGGAGTAGTCATTGGGGATGACAACTTGCATTTCACCAGCATGCAGGGCCACCAAGCAGGCATACATGTGGGAACTCACATGAGTTGCTTAGGTGTGCAGTGCAGAAGGTATTATAGTGCTTCTTCTAAAAATTTTTCTGTTTAAAGGCTCATTACTGACACTTCGAAAACAGTGGTTTAAGAGAAGCTAAACTTTGGAAACATGATGTCACCATCACTTCAGTTTCCCCTCCTTTTTGTACCAAGGGGTGGGGGAGATGACAAACTTGAAATTATTGGATACATATGGTGATGGGATGGGGCTAAAGGAAAAGCCATGGCTTTATTAAATGACTTAATTGGAATATATTTTTGAACTATACGCTGAACTTGATCCAGATTCTCATTATTAAAAAATATGTGGTTTGGTTTCTTGACGTTAACAAAGAACGTAAAAGCGATGACACCCATTCCTTCTTCCCTTAAGAACTAAGAGTTCCAGTAACTCTGGACAGCATCATTCATAAAAGGAAGAAAGGAGACATAGCAGTCTCTGCTAAACTGTTTTATGTCTTAGAAGAAGTAGAGAGTGATGAACTTCTAGTGGAAACTTTGGTGGCAGAGTGATTATGCAGAAATTCCTTTTTAGTGAGGGGAGAATTGGCAATTCTGACACAAAGACCAAGATTCAAATACTGACTGGCTCACCCAAGTGTCCATATTGCCTCATTGCCTCATACGCTTGCATGTTGAGCACTGCTGATGGATCAGCCTTTCTTCTTGGATGAAGCTATGGATATTTTTCATTCTGCTCCTATTATTTTTATTTAATTTTCATTAAGATTCATCTGTTGATTATAGTTCAAGTAAAGCTGCCAGATGTGCAGGCTGGATTTAGAAGAGGTCGTGGTACTAGGGGTATTAGAGCTAATGTTAGATGGATCTTGGCAGAAAGCAGAGAATACCAGAAGAATGTTTATCTGTGCTTCATTGACTATGCAGAGGCTTTTGACTGTGTAGATCACAACAA